TAAGGAGCTGCTGCATTGTTGTCCGAACCCAATTCCTGCAAGTTTCGTGATAAGTCCTGCACTGTCTGTCTATTCACCCGCATACAGCACACATGACAAACATAGTTGCTTCTTGAGGTTAATATAGATAAATACAAGTACATATATAAAACAATGAATAAAAAACAAAATGCTTACCACATTAAAAGTATTTTGTGATATTAGGCCAGCTAGCAACGGAGAGTCCATACTGACATTATGGTGTCTTATTTTTCGAACCGATTTTCCACAACCAAGGCAAGCCATGTTATGCCCCAGTAGTCTCTCATGTTCAACAGCCTCAGTATTCAATAATAAGAAGCGTGGTTAACAAATGAATGTCCCCAGAGGCAACTAAAAAAAAGATGCACTATTTATAATCGCATACCATTATAAAACATAAAAAATTACTACTAAGACTTAGTCTGTACTAAGTATTATAATATTCCGACTTCATACCTGGGTTTGAGCTATGGTTAACCAACGTGAAAGTTTTGTTTGATGGGGTGCAGAAAGCGAGGATATAAGACGCCTCTGCAGCCTTTGTACGCCTATTCCGCAGTTGATGCACCTCATCGTAATCCACAAAACAAATCCAAAACGCAAAACAGTTACTCCAGTATTATTATCAAGGTTAACAAAAACACGCTGTCAAAAGTGTCAAACACGTTTCGTTTAAAACTTTTTTTTTTGGTGAATTGGATAAAAATAAAACATAATTTATTATAATATGAGCATATTTTAAAATGCAACTAAAACCAATAAATACAGTTTCGGGTGAATAAAATGTTCCTAGTGCATAATAATGAATTTGTCGATCATATCACACGTTTTCTACGAGTGTAGTTTAAGACACGTGGTTTGGAATTGGAACGTCTTTTTATTTATCTTTCTCTATGGACTATTATGGCGAAACTTGACAAACGATAAGTTGATTTTGTTGCATTACTTTTACATTTTTTTTATAATAATTGTCAGGTCTGGAGAGGCTAAAAACTACGTAATAATTCATATTTCTATTTGTATTTTACAGTGTATTAATTTTGTTCGTGTACGTGGAATGTACTTTTTTGGCCATGTCCTTTACTGAGAATATATTTGAAAGAAATAGTTGAATGGAGGATTTTACTTTTTTCCTCGATTTCTACATCAAAACTTTTTTATGACATTGTTCGGCGAATATGGAAACGGACACGCTCCGGCGAATCGGCGCCGTCCATGTAAACTAAGCTACTGTAACTAGCTAAACTAAACTATAAGTGTGGGAGAGCCATGCTTCGGCACGAATGGGTCGGCTCGACCGGAGTGATACCACGGCCTCACAGAAAACCGGCGTGAAATAACCACTGTGCTGTGTTTCGCCGTGTGAGTGAGGTTACTGGAGGCCCAATCCTTCCCCTTCCCCAATCCCTCCTCAATCCCTAAATCTCCAAATCCCTAATCCCTAAAAGGTTGGCAACGCACTCGTAACTCCTCCGTTGCGAGTGTCCATGGGCGGCGCTGATTGCTTACCATCAGGTAATCCGTCTACTCGTGTGCCGACCTATACATAAAAAAAACTCGTAATATCAAAGAAGTTTCTACAATTGCATTGCTGGACTCTTGAGGGTTATTAGGGATTGGATCTCTGGTAGCTGCACTCACACGGCGAAACACAATACTGTGGTTGTTTCACGCAGGTTTTTTGGTTTTCTGTGTGGTGTGTGATTTGTGTCAAGTATTGCAAATTCTTTAGTCAGTGTCATTACATTGTAAATTATCTTCTAGTACATTGCATGTCTGATAATAGCCAAACCTATTAACATTAAGATAGAAGCTCAAAGAGACATTAGACCACTATGTAAAAGATGGGGTCCAATAGGTCTGATGTCCCAAATAAGAAGAAGAAGAAAGAGGGTACTACCCCTTTTTTTTCTTTAACCCAAATTCTTTTTACTTTCTCGTTTTTTTAAAAGTCTGCCACTCCTATTATTTAACCCAGGTCGAGAAAGACCATTTGATGATTTTACTGGAGATAAGGAACGGTAACTTCATCCTGGAGCACTCGGAATGATGGCAGCCTGCGGGATCACTAATTTAGCGCGCCTCAAGGTTATTTGTTTTTTTGAGCAGGATAAATCAACAAATGACTTCTGGCGCTATTTCGTCCACGAAATAGCTCCATAATGCGCTTATCCCGCAACCCCTTCCGAACAGATAAGCATCAGGGTGCTGCGATCACTATTATTGTGTGCAAAGCATTAGTGCTTTGGTAAAAATATTAAATGGGACCTTTTTATACTGTAGACCTATTTAAGCTTATGGTAATAATAATCTGGTGAATGATAATTAAGACAAACAAACTGATCTTACAAAAGTTGATCGACCGATCGCGTCTCTAAGGATCGTGTGTTTAATTCTCTTACGAAGTAACTGAAGTTGTGCATGGTTATGGGATAGAACGGCCAATGATCAATCGAATCACCTAATTGTAAGCGATCAACGCCCTTGACACTTGAAACAAATGAGAAGGTTGCCTTGCCAGTCTTTTGCACATGCAAGAATGCACATGGCGAAATACAACGAAAGCGTTATTTTACGCCAGTCGAGCCGGCCTATTGGTACCAAAGCGTGGCTCTCCCATACAGCAAAGCGCTATTTGCTTTTCTGGGTCCAAATTTGTAATACATGATTCAAGTTTTTAAATCCAGGGAGAAACCCTTTCCAAAGAGAAAAAGTGTGGGAGAGCCAAGCTTCGGCACGAATGGGTCGGCTCGACCGGAGTGATACGACGGCCTCACAGAATGCCGGCGTGAAACAACTCACAGCGTTGTGTTCCGCCGTGTGAGTGAGGTTATCGGAGGCCCAATCCCTCCCCTTCCCCTATGCCTTCCCAATCCTTATATCCGCAACCCCCATCCCCAAAAGGCCGGCAACGCACTCGTAACTCCATTGGTGTTGCGGGTGTCCATGGGCGGCGCCGATTGCTTACCATCAGGTAATCCGTCTGCTCGTTTGCCGAATTATACCATAAAAAAACCCCTTGTGTGGAAAAACAATGTGCACACACTCAATGGCAGTACAATTTAAGACTGAACAGTTGACGCAGCAGTTAAACAATTATTGACTGCCGTGCAACGTGTCGCACCGCACGGAACAACACTTCGTGTAATCAATTTTCTTTGGACAGGTGCCCTGGGTGGAGAGATTCGAACTCTTACTGACTAATAACCACCCCGTTCTTTATCCTGTATCAACCTGGGCCTGTTCATTATTGCGCTTGCCCCGCAAAACTCTTAAATACATTTATAATAACACATCTGACGTCACTTGAATTTTTTGCTGTATTATTGAATACACACACATCACACATCATCAGCCTATAAGTGCCCACTGCACAGCAAATGCCTCTTCTCACACGGAGAGGTTTTGGGCGTTAATCACCACCCTTTTCCAAGAAGGTCTTTATCAACTCATTCTTATAACGATTACAACGACAGCTAAATGCGTTCAAGTTCTGAAATAAATGAGACCAAAACTGGAAGATAATACTTCCTTCACGTGGATGTCAGTTGTTTAATTATCAGACACGTTTTCAATTACTTTTGTTAGTGATAATGTAGCATGTGTGAATTAGTGACATTGTAGAAATTTTCATGATTATGTACACAGTTGCTGCATTTCAGTACAATCAATTATGTGAAAATTTGCCAGGGTTATGTCTACTTTTTATAAGTAACTAGCTACTCTCTCGCGGTTTCACCCGCTGCTCGGCTCCATTTAATCGTAGCATGATGTTTTATAGCCTATAGCACTCAGAAACATTCTAGCTATTTATCAGTGAAAGAATTTTGGCAATTCGACCAGCAGTTCCAAAGATTTCCCCCTACATACAAACTTACAAATTTTACCTCTTTATAATATTAGTATAGATGAAATTTCTCCCGCCCTGGGTGATGTGAGTGTGAGTGCTAGACTCTAACTGATTAAAACCACCCCGTTACTTCTCCAGCTTTAGGTTTTAGCCATGTTACATTATTGCGTTTGTTCCGCATCCTCGGCTGAACATCAGCTCTGTTGGGCCCAATCTGTGGTGGTCAAATGGTTCTTTGAGGCGCACAGACGTTACAAGCCGTGCGCTTTGTTCATGTTCTGGTCGGGCAGCCGTATTGTTTTTATGCCTTGTTGCTGCTTACGTTATCTTATAGTTTTTTGCTGGATAAGATATAACTATGAATGAACCACCACCACATGAATTTGAAGGAGACTGAATTACGTAAACCAGGCGCAAAAGAGGCTGTACAACTGGGAAAAGACCAGTCACCTAACACCACACTAATTATATTGGTTACAAGTAATAAGTGTGGCAAAAATGTGTATATGCACGAAAATCTGTTCAAAATTCTACCCGGCTCATATAATAAACAACCCATGGTGAAACATTTAAACCATCTTATGCGGATACAAAATTGATTTTTAAACAATGTCTAAACAAATGAATTTCTCGGCACTTGCATCCATGAGCGGCGACGTATGGCTAGGCCTCACCTGCGACCCCGGCAGGAGAGTAATTTAGTTTTAAGATTTGTACTCAACATTTTTTGATTGTATAATAATACTGATGGCTAAGCAGTGTAACAAATCGGTATTTCCTGATATGAGGGAGTGTCTGACTCTTACTAACAAAATCCCACGCGTTCCTTCTGTTAGGCCAAGGTCGCGGTGCTCAGACAGTGCAAACTTCATAAGAAAACATAAACAGTAATAATAAAAAAAAAGAAAAAACAAAAATGTACGTGCTTTCCATAACGATCGATCAAGCAAAGAGGCAACCCTAAGAAAAAAAGTCTTTTCATGCACACTGTTTACCAAAATGACAAATTAATACTTTGGCAAAATAAAAAAACGTTTACTTTCGATCAAGTTTAAATAAGTAGATCGTACTGGTCTCCTTATAATACACCGTTATTGTCAGTCTGCGGTACGAAGCCGCACTAACAACCATGGACGTCATCAAGTTTAAGGTCAATGGAGTCGAGCACACAGGTTAGAAATTGCATTTAAAAATATTTTAATAATGCTCTTTTCAGTTCTTGGATTTGACGTTTTACTATACTTGTCATAATGTCGTGTTCTATGGGATAGGTCGGCAGACGGGTTACCTAATGGTAGGCAATCGGCGCCCACCATGGACATACGAGTGTCCAAAGAAGTTACTACTTGACTTACTTAACTACACGGTTGGCGCGGTGGTTGGGCTACTGGCTGCCGCGCAACGTGTCGCGGGTTCGATTTCCGCATGGTGACTCTTTGTGTGATCCACAAATTGTTGTCGCGTTGAAATTATATATTTGTAAACGCACCCACGACATAAGAGAAAATCCTATTGTGATCTAAGTTTTTAAAAAAAAACGAATGCTTTGCCGGCCGGGAGTAGGTTATTAGGCTTTGAAGGTCTTTTTCTTCTCAGAATTTGAGAGTTAGGGATGGGGGATGAGGATTGAGCTCTCGGTAACCTCACACACATGACCAAACGCAACCCAAACATTGTTTCACGCCAGTATTATGTGAAATCTTTTGACTGATCCTGGACATTGCATGCATCAGTATTTGAATACATATATAGGTAGTAAAGAATTTTGTGTCAGTAAAGCAATATTTTCACCAGTTAATATAATTTTATATCACCCTACTAGTCGGCAGCGAGATAAGCTCAGATGTTATGCTGCTGGACTACCTCCGCAACTACCTTCAGCTGCGTGGTACTAAGTACAGTTGTCGCGAGGGTGGTTGTGGAGCCTGCATGGTCACCGCTGCCAAAACTCCAGGAGCTCCGTATCTCGCCATAAATTCGGTACGTTATTCATTTTTGCAGACGTTTTAAACACGTTGGTTTCAGTATTGAACAAGGAAGTGATATGCTGTGATCAGATTCACTTATTATTAATCCTAGTTAATCGTAATCAGCTAAAGATAAAACGATCAAACCTAAAGTACTTAATACTTTTTTTTTCACACTGAGCATCTTAAAATCCTTTTTATTTTCTTACTATAATTTTTTCTTCTTGTTCATTGTCAAATAATGGATTATTTTTGATGATAAAATGGTACATTATTATTTGTCTGAGGCATTTTTCATGATCTTTGTCAAGTAAGTTCATAATTCTTAAGTAAATTCATAATTTCTTTTTCTATAACAGTGTCTCCAATCAGTCGCATCTTGTCACGGATGGGATATCGTGACTATTGAAGGTTTGGGTAACAGAAAGGATGGGTACCACCCTCTACAGACGACGCTCGCTGAGAACCATGGAACCCAGTGTGGGTATTGTACTCCAGGATGGGTGATGGCCATGCATGGGTAAGTTGCATTCAAAATGTTTAGCTTCTACTTTGTTAAGATTATTTTGACATAAAATACAAAAAATCATAGGTATGATACGATGTTTCTCGGGTAGATAAAAATAAAGATCCTGACTAAGGCTTTTGACTAGAAGCAGAGTAAACACTTTTCCAATGAAAGTTGAACTGTCGAGATGAAATTGTTTTGCAATCTACTACAAGATATTTATTAGCGTCACCTACAACAGTAGCAGGTATTAAGATTAGGTACGAACCTAATCTTAATACGGGCTTTTTTAATTTTTTTTATTGTCCAAAATTTTCCTAAAAAAAAGTGATAATCCCCTTCCCAATCTCTCTCCAGTTCCTAAATCTCCAAATCCCTAATCTCTAAAAGGTCGGCAACGCACTCGTAACTCCTCCGTTACGGGTGTCCATGGGCGGCGCTGATTGCTTACCATCAGGTATTCCGCCTGCTCGTTTGCCGACCTATTACATAAAAAAAAGATAATAAATTATTATCAATTTATCTTTCAGTCTCATGGAAAGCAACAGTCAGATGACGATGTTAGACATAGAAAAGTCGCTTTCTAGCAATCTTTGTCGTTGTACTGGCTACAGACCAATATTAGACTCCTTCAAAAAGTTTGGTATTGACTGTCCTACTGAAGACAAGATAAAAAGTATCAAAGATATGAGCATTTGCAAGCAATCCAACAACTGTTGTCGAAGCTATGCTAAAGACAATGATTGGTGTATGGTGGACAATGATATGTCTGGAGAAAAGATGTTTACACTCCAATTGAAAGATGGTAAAACATGGTATACACCAAAGAATCTTACTGATCTTAGAAAGTTAGTGGAAGAAAATTTGGAGTCATACATGCTGGTCGCTGGAAATACGTCTAAAGGTAAATAATTATAATTATAGGCACTATGAAATTTACTAAATTATCTTGGACAAATAAGTATCTTTATCAAGTAACATGAGAGGGCTAACAAGACTTTAGATAGCTCTATCTTCAAAATGAAAACAAAAACATTGTAATCTATACTAATATTGTGAAAAGGTAATATTTGATATTTCTATGTATGGGGTAATTTTTGTAACTGCTGTTATTAGCACAATGTTCCTGAGTACTATGAGGTAAAAAACATCATCCTGCGACCAATAAGAGACCAGCAGCGAATCAAACCGCTCGGCATTTGCTAGTTACATGATAAAACCATACAAATAATTATCTTAATTTAGCACATAAGATGATAGGAATGGCCGCATTATGTAATGTTTATGGTGTTTCAGGTGCGTACCCCATTGACGATTATCCCAAAGCACTGATAGATGTGAATCACGTACAAGAGCTGAAAGCAAACAACATTGATCAGAACCTGGTAGTTGGAGCAGGTTTAAATATGACAGAATTCATGGACATCCTTAAAACTAGTGCTGAACAAGATAATTTCAGCTATCTGTCAAAACTTTATGACCATGTAGATCTAGTTGCACATATACCGCTAAGAAATGTAAGTGAATTTGGAAAAAAATCTTTTTAAAGTTTATTTTTTTATGGATAAGAATAATGTGATCTTAATTTCCACTGATACGCTTTGCTTAAACTTGTTTTTATTTCAGGTGGCAACTATTGCAGGAAACTTGATGATAAAACATTCTTACAATTCTTACCAATCTGACTTATATCTGATCTTTTATACTGTTGGTGCTCAACTGACAATCGGTACGTTCCCATTAGTAATCATTAACAAAATATTTTAAATAGCATTTTAGTTAGCGTTTTTATATATTGTACATGTCAATTCTAAATTCTAACATCATTATCGTATTTCAGTGGATTACCATGGAAAGGAACAAATAGTCACGATGAATAAATTTTTGGAATTAAACATGCAAGGAAAAATAATCGTAAACGTCTTGCTCCCACCATTAAGTAAATCGCACAAACTTTTTACGTACAAGGTAACAATGCTTATGACATTAAAATTGTTCTGAAATATGAAAATTCTGATTACCTTTGACCTATAATTCAGATATCGGACGTAAAATAAAATATTTGTTTTAGCTTATGCCAAGAGCTCAGAGTTCTCATGCTATTGTAAACGCCGGCTTCCTTTTTAAACTGACTTCGGAAAACGTGGTAGAGGAAGCAACCATCGTTTATGGAGCTCTTTCGGAGAAGTTTGAAAAAGCTGTATCCACTGAGAGGTATCTCATCGGTAGGAAGTTGTTTGATAATGATACTTTGAAAGGGGCTTTGAAAGTCTTGGATGGAGAAATGATCGTGGAAGATCACCCACCAGAACCATCTATTGAATACAGGAGATATATCGCCAAGGCACTCTTCTTTAAGGTAAGTTAATATTTATATTGCCATATTACTGATATCTGATATATATAACACATTTTCAATAACATTTACTTTTAATAATCAAATTCATATTAATCAATTTCATTGTTATCCTATTCGATTCTTGATATATTTTCTTAAATTGAATTTGTCGTTATTTATAAAACCAAAATAATTATAAAATAATTATTAGGTTTCTTTTTAATTTTCCAGGCTCTCCTGAATCTGGCTCCATCTAGAGCGTCGCGATCTGATTCAGCTATTGTTGATTTGCATGTGACCAGGCCATGCTCTAAAGCAAAACAGGTCTTTTCCACTGATACCTCATTGTGGCCATTGAACAAACCGATGCCAAAGCTCGAAGGACAGGTAATATTGGTTGAATAAAAAAGACTTACCTCATTATTAAAATGTTTTGTACACGTACTTAATAATGACTTTTTATTACAGATTCAATGTGCAGGTGAAGCTATTTATACTGACGATATTCCTTCTTTCCATAATGAAGTATTTGGTGCATTTGTACTGAGTACTGTGGGAATTGGAACTATTCTCAAAATGGACCCCAGTGAAGCTTTGGTAAGTCATATAACTAAATGAAAATCAGTCTAAATTCACGCATAGTTACTTATCATAAATATATTTTATCGCTTTTAAAATCGCTTGCAGAATATACTTAACTAATATAATTTGTATCACAGCGTACAATAAACGGTTTTTTCTTTAATTCTTTCATTTCAGGCCTTACCTGGTGTGTTAGCCTTTTACACAGCTAAAGACATCCCTGGGCTGAACTCCTTCACACCCATAGATGGACCAGGCGGACTTACGTCTGTGAACGAAGAAATTCTATGTGAAGGTGACGTTAAATATAACGGTCAACCTATTGCTCTCGTGGTCGCAGAAACTCAAAACCTAGCAGACAGAGCTGCAAAGCTGGTGAAAGTCAAATACACCAATATTTCTACACCTGTTACGGATATCAAAAAGGCTAAAGAAGATAGCACGAGGAATACCCTATTCATTTCTGCTGATGCCACAACGACTGGCTCTGATGTACACAAGACCATAACTGGTAGTAATATTGTACACGGACAGTATCACTTCCCAATGGAGACCATGGTCTGTGTCGCCAAACCCACAGAAGAAGGACTGGAAGTACACTTGGCCTCACAATGGATGGATGGAGCACATACTATGATTTCGAGGGCTTTGAATATAGAACAAAGCAAGTTGGTATCATTTATAACTTACTAATAACTGCGCAGCGACTAAGCCACATTTTTTTTTCAAAGTATCAGTATGTTGTTAGTTGAATTGTTCCACATTACAATGTTTCTCTTCCAGAATTGATGTCTACATCCGTCGTGTTGGTGGTTCTTATGGACTGAAGATAACGCGTTGCATTCAGTCTGCTACTGCCTGCAGTCTTATTGCTTACAAATTGAACCGACCATGCAGATTTATTCAACCATTGGTTACCAATATGAAAGCTTTCGGTAAAAGGATGCCGAACGTGACTGATTATGAGGTACATATTAGTTTAATAAAAAAATATGTAATACTATAAAATTTTACAAAAGTTAATCAATTATATTTAAATATAAAAATACAAGTCTTAATGAAATAATTGGTATTTACAGGTTGCGGTCAACAGTTCTGGAGTGCTACAATATGTAAACCTTGTAGCTTATACAGACAACGGCTGCAAGATAAATGAACCAATTGCATTCTACGCATCTGATGTCTATTTCAACTGCTACGATGGCACCAAATTTAACTATAAATCCTATAACACCGTTACTGATACGGCTAAAAATACTTTCTGTAGAGCGCCAGGTACAGTTTCATAAAAAAAATATTATATTATGTTTTTTTAACATTACAATCTCATCATGAGAATCATAATATTGATGATCTTTATTTTTTTGTACAAACAGGCACATTGGAAGCTATCGCAAACATTGAAAACATTATGGAGAGAATTTCTTATGAACTTTCTTTGGATCCAATTGCTCTTCGTTTAGCCAATTTGAGCTCAAATTACAAAGAAATAGCTGAAGTAGTAGAAGCTCTAAAAACCAGTGGTGAATATACTAGTCGCAGAGCAGCAGTTGATTCCTTTAACACCCAAAATAGATGGAAGAAACGAGGGCTGAGATGGTCTTTCTGTAGATGGCCACCAGCAGGTGCTTTGTACACTGACGTAAACCTCTCAGTTTTCCATTCAGATGGATCTGTTGTGATTACTCATGGAGGTATTGAGATGGGTCAAGGTATTAACACTAAGGCCGCTCAAGTGGCAGCCTATTTGCTGAAAATACCAGTAGAAATGATTGAAATTAAAGGAAACAACAGCATCGTTACACCAAACAGTTTTGCTAGTGGAGGAAGTGTTACGACTGAAGGAGTTATCATCGGACTGAAAAGATGTATTGAACAGTTACAAGCCAGATTAGAACCTATCAAGGCCACAATGACTGACCCAACGTGGTTACAGTTAATAACTGCAGCCTTTGCTGCTAATGTGGATCTCCAGGTGCACGGTTATTGCAGTGCTTTGGACGCGCAAACATACGAGATTTATGGTGTGGCATGTTGCGAAGTAGAAGTTGATGTTCTAACTGGAGAATATGAGATTCTGAGAGTAGATTTAACGCAAGATGTTGGTATAAGTGTGAACCCTGATATTGATATTGGACAAGTAAGTTATCATTGTAATTTTTGTATTTTCTATGTAGTAACTGATTCACAAATTATTTTTGAAATTTTAACCTATAATATAACCTATTCAGATTGAAGGAGCTTTTATGATGGGTGTTGGATACTGGACTTGTGAGAAATTAGTTTACAACCCAGACAATGGTGCAGTAATCACGGATAGATCTTGGGACTACCATCTTCCTGAGGCCAGAGATATACCTCAAGACTTTAAGGTCACGCTCAAGAACTTCTACAGCAACGACTTCATTCTGGGATCCAAGGGTAAGTTGTGTGAAATTTGGAATCACAATAAAGAGTAAATTTAAGTAAATTTTAATAGTGAATAAGTATTTAACTGATATCTACTTAACAGGTGTTGGAGAGCCACCATCGTGTCTGTCAGTCGTTGTGCCATTTGCCCTTAGAGAAGCTATTGTGCACGCGAGACAAGAATCTGGTATACCAACCACGGAATGGTTTGATGTTGGTAAGTTATCACAACAGTTTATTTCGGAAACAAGTTTCTTGAACAAAAAAACGTACTTATTATTTGTGAATGAAGTCTGTTGAATATAAATTTTGATTACGGTAAACTTTAAGGTTTCACATTTCGAGATTTTTAGTACAAAAATATTCATGACACACTGGGTTTGCCCATCAGTGTCATAATTTTTTAGACACTGTTAGATCATTTTACCTGGTCTGATAATTTAAATATAACCTCTTTTATTTTAATTTGCAGAAGGCCCATTCTCCACGGAAAAGATATGCATGTCAATGAAGACTAACGTTGATGACTTTAAAATTGTTTAAGATAATATGATCAAGGGACAAATGGATGATATAAGTTTAACATTAGCTGTTTCACTTTTAAACGACAAAGTGAATGGAGTGGCAACATATTAACCAATAATATAAAATTACCTACAGCTATGTGTATCGTTGCTTCAGTTTTATTTGATTTCTTTGATAATAAATCATGTTAAAATCTTTTTATCTAACATCTCACAGTTGAAGAACAATTGACTATGTTACGTTTTTCTTTGCAGCTTTCTTAGTTTTTTTTTTTCACTATCAATAATTATTGTTTGGTTTCTTATGGTTTTATTTCTTTAACCTTTTGGGATTTGGTTGGCTTTTTTTGTTTCTTTTTTACACATTTGAACATACCTATTATAATCCTTAATGGTTATTGAACTTTTATAAAATTTGTGATATTTGGTTAAGTTTAATAAAATGGTTGGCATCTTATTATTGTTTTTATTGGTTAATAATTCGTGTACCTCGAGAAACTACGAGAAGACAGGACCTTAGAAAATAAGTATAGGTGAGTTATGCTTCAGGAAGCTTTTACTTGGAACTCCATTGGTTTTGCGATTGTATATACATACATTTTATTAGATGATTTATAGCTATGCTATCATATCAGCTATTTTATCGTCTTATGCCACAAAAAAGAAATAACATCTTCCTATATTTCTACAAGAAATGCTTTGTCATATTATGAATAGTATCTACACAGTCACTTAGTAACTCAATACAAGTATTGGTAGTGTACTTACGCCTTCAGGCGATCACGCACCGTCAACATTATGGAAGCATGTTGATTTAGGCCACTTCCTAACGACCACAATACCGACCATCGCACACGTAGTGCCACTAATTGCGAGGATTATTGCCCCAAAATGTCTTCCCTTTATCAATTGGCTTTAGGATACGCCTATTATATATATACAATCCAAACAGATTGTAGGGATATATAAATTTTGTAATTTCTAATAATTTGAGTGCTTGTAATTCATACTATGCTTATAAAATAACGTTATATCGTTTAATTGAATTTAAATTTGAAAAAGAACATAAACAAATACAATTTCTTTTATAAAATAAGATCAAGTCTCCAAAGCTATTAGAGGCAGCTTAAGGAATCCTCTTGAGTGAAGTTGCCCTCCGACCTCCCGTGCACTCCCGGCTCATCTGTCGCTGCATTCTCGAGGCCTCCCGACCGGCACTCACTGTGCATAGTGAGCATTCTTCACGCTTTTATATCAATATTGGTGCAAGAGTAAGATTTTCTTGCAATTTGTCATGAGAATAGACTTTTGCGACATTTCTATTCAATTTATATTGTATTTTTATTATAACTTTCGTGAGACATTCTAAATTAATTATTATGTTTTCGGCTAACCAAGGTAATAATTTGACGAGATACTCGACTAGTTTCAAGCCATGCTAGAGGCCCATATTCATGAGCAGCATTCCGTGACACTTGGTGACACTTGACGCGGCGACTGTCGCGCTGTTACTCTCTTATATGGACCTCTAGCATGGCTTGAAACTAGATAATGGTTTACTTACGTGAAGTAACCGAGAAAAGTTTATAAACTTTTAGTCAGTTTCCCAAGTCTGATGCGCGACGTCGTCGCCACGCGCACGCTGTTCATGAATAAGAGTCCCGTCGTGACCTGAAACTAGTAGAGCTCTTTGTTAGTTAACTTACATGAGCTATTTGAAAATAGTCATATTGGTAGTTGTCAGGTCGTCATGCATGAGAAAGAGGGTATTTAACTCTGGGTCAATTCACACTCCAAATTATGAAAAGGCGCAAAAAAAGACATGCCTCGAGTGTTAAATCGAAAAATAAAACCGAAACAACTAGAAGACACACTAATGAAGTCTGGCGACCTTAATACATAATTGGGGACAGTTGTCTATTTGTTAAAAAGATTGTGAGATGTGGCGACTTTTTACGCGTCAAAATATTTATTAAATAATGAAAAAAAAATTAATAAGGGTGTGATTATTTTTGAACTTTTCCATTGTGGTAATTTGAGAAACAATAGTAGAACAAAAGGTGCGTAAACTTTGGTGTTCGCTTAGGGCTTGTTGGATTACAAGAAAAACCATTATGTTTTACCAATAGAAGTTTTTGAAACTTGACAAAAACGCTTGAAAACAGATTTGTTTTAACTTCTCACGCACGAATCTCCTCAACTTTAATGAGAAATTAACTAAAATGAGAATGCATAGCCTTCATATTTTTAATACCCAAAAACCCTTTCCATTCCAAAACTAATTAACGACCCCACTAGCTCTAGTGCCCATTTCGACCACCTAAACACCCATTCACGTTAACTCTGACAAGACCCGCTACCCATATTACCCAGTAATTCCAGAAAGGCTGATCCAGACGTATTTCCTTCGCATTACTAACGGACCATGCAATTCGCTCGAAGCCTCTGGGACTTGTGAGGCTTCAGCTTTGAGAACGGAATCCCAAAGAGATGTAGGATCATTTGCTCTTCATATTCCCGTATCTTCTGAACAGACTTTGAGTGTAAATTGGCCATATTTTGGGAGAATCTGATAGTATAGAGACATTTCAATATTGATGTAGCTACTTTAAATTTAACCTCTAAAATAAGCCTTACCAGGAAGAATAAATGGTAGTGTCCACAAAGTATTCTTTGTTCTAGATTTAAATGCAGGCTTTGTGTTTAGTAGTCGTCAAATTATCACCCTATCAGTGACCATTTCTGAGCAAAGATCAATTTTATCACGGCGAAGGTTTAAGTACCTGGCTTGCTCAAAGCGGATTAGTGATCTAAAACTTTATAAAATTAAAATTCTAGGTTAGCTCACGGTGTTTCCCATTTGTTTGTATCTGAATACACTTAGAAAAAGTCGCACTGGTCTTTGCTAAGTTTTGAACCCGTAACCGCACCCAGTATGTATGAGAAACGGGAGCGATAAGATAAAAATGCTATTTTTTTTTTAATAATACACAATTACATAGAGAGTTTCAACTTTGTAATTCTTAATAGAAATGAAAAACTATTTGAAACATTTTGTAACCAACAGCACTAATTAGAAATCTAATTCCACTATAATGAAAGCGCTGCAAGCTGCATCAATCTGCCAGTGACATACATCAAGTCATTAAAATTGTAAGCAAAATGGATCGCCACGTCTCTCGGAGTGCAGTTTTCTTAAATCATCGTCCCCTTTTCATTGAGGCTGGCTTTCAGAGCACGTGCGGACCATCTTCGTGTTGAGCCACAAAGTAAGCAATAGAATAAGTAATATCTTATATTATAATTGCCATTATGATTTCTTGCCGTTAAAATAGAGGTTTGAATGATTTATCTTTAATATTCTGGATAGATCAGCAAAAGAGTCTGCGGTCATCCGATAGGTAGCATACTAACTTTTAAACCTTTGCGCATCATATATCGTATTAATCGCGATAGGTAGCAATCGACATGCGTGTCCATGGATTCCTGCAATAGTAACGGAGTCAGATAGTCTCCGGCCACCGTGAGCGCGGGTCTGCGGACGACGAGTAAGGGTAGCTCGCCGCCCGACCAGAACCAGACCCGAGCGTACGGCTTGTAGCGTTCCGCGCGCGCCTCGAAGAGCCAATAGACCACCACAGACGGGGCCCTATAGGGCTGATGTTCAGTCGGGGTTTCGGGGTAAGCGCAATGAGGCACCGCGACCTCGGCCCAGAGCAGGAGTAGGAACAGGGGGTTTTTAGTCAGTAAGAGTCTGACACTCCCTCCCGCCTGACCCTGGGCGGGAGAAGTCACTTGATGATTTTCCTCTCACAAAAAAAAACAAGTCCATTGTAAGGTTTCTTTAAAATTTTGAGAGTAGGGGATTACTTATGTTGGCGTGGGGAAAAGCAATGGACCTTCAATAACTACACTTGCACGGCGAAATACAATGTAAGCTTTTGTAAATTTTTTTGCTGTTACAATTCAGACAAAATTCTCGCATAAGCGTTAAGAAAGATTGTTTAAGAAAGAAAAAAATGATACGAAATTTTAATTTACTCTTATTGCTGAATTCGCTTTGACTGATTAATGCTTAATGTGAATGCATTTCAGATTATGAAAATTATTAATTATGATGACATAGAAGAAAAATAAAAATCAACCCTCTCCAATATTAAAATTTCCCGAATCCTAATCGCTAAAAGAACGGCAACGCACTCGTCCTCTGTCCTCAGTCGTATAATGGTCGTTGACTTAAATCTAGTAAAAAATAGATATTAATAGTTTTATTGTACATTTTATATAGTATAAAATAAACTTACTCATTGAAATAAATAAATTAATAACCATAAATAAAAAAATGGCGATTTATACACTTTTCCTAACTGCAATCGTCACAGCATCTCATGGCCCGAACAGACCAACATGCAAATGTTCTAACATGAGCTAACGAGGCACTCGACTCAGTTCTAACGAGTGCTATTCGACCAGCGTCTATCACCCCGCATTAGTCATCACTCACTTTTACCCTTCATTCTCTTTATTTTTCTGTAGGTTGTGGAATATGGTGGAATCTTATGTTTGTAGATAGGCCAAAAGATAGCCGAAAATGGCGTGTTATATAAAAATTTTCTTTAAATGTAAAAATGCGTTTCTTTTTAATTTTTCTTTACATGAATTTAAATAAGGGAACTTTTTCATCGGATTGCTCATGAATATGAGCTACTTAGCATGGCTTAAAACTAGTCGAGTTCCTCGTCAAATAGTTACGTGAATAAGTCGAAAACATAATCATTAAATTTAAACGTTTTATTTATTTATTTTATTTATTTATTTATTAGGACAACCAACAAGTTCTTACACTGATACATGGGCTTCACTTAAATTAAATTAATTTATGACTAAGTGTAGACTTAATTATAGGTTGCCACATCATGCATAAGATGTAGCCTATGTTATCGTTAATTTAACAGTATTGTCTAACAGTATGAAATAGAAAAAACTTTTGAATAAAATATCGTAAAGGGGGGGGGGGGGGACAAGGCTCAATGTTTTTGTTTTTGAAAAGAAGATAGAATTTTACGTTTAAAGGCAGAGTGCCGATCTGAAAAAATATCTAAA